CAGGCTACAGTTGCCCTTACGGCTATTTGAACAATAGTGCAATAAAATCCCGATGTCCTGAAATCCGCCACAACCTAATTGGCTTTGCGATAACCAGGCGGTTTCCATGGTTATGAGCGATTTAAACCGCGTACTTTATCTGCATGACAATGTCTTGTTGCGCGACCCTAATTGCGTGAAAACTGGACTGGGCTAGTAAAGGGAAATCTGTCGAATAAACAATGCAAAGTATAGGCAAGTGAGTTCTCACGAGCTGAGGTGACGTTCCGCATTTCAGGTGTGTCTATAAATAGAGAAGAAGACGTGTTGTTCGTCGGAATTATGGCTTCATTTGTCTGAGCTTTTAAACTCTTAATTGAGCCCATCTTCATAGCAAAAGGCGGCAACTAAACAAGCAATTGTTATAGGGGCAAGCGCCAATCAAACACCAATGACACCAGTCTGGAGGTGACTGCGTAGGGCTCGGTATGCTGATGCAAGATCGATAGATCGATTGACTAAGTACTCATCGGAGGCACGGGCTCCGATCAATTCGCGGTTCGTCTTCTTTTTGGTGTGGACAATTATTTTTGTGTGGCTGCGAAGATAAACTCGTGATTCGTTTCTTAGGTGTGGACGGTCATTTGTGAAACATCCTTGCATCCGGTTTTACAGCCAGCTTATGTATACGCGATCCAAGTGTGATGGAATGAATCTCTCTCTAGACAAGGATGAAGACGTGTAGAGCACCGGATCAATTGGTTTATTGTCCTGCGCTTTCGAACTCTTACAGGAGTCCATCTTCAGTCTACCTCTGAAGATGGACTCCTGTAAGAGTTCGAAAGCTCAGGACAATCGACCAATTGACCCGGTGCTCGACACGTCTTTTTCCTTATCTATGCGAATACCTGGAACGCGAACCTTTTCATTCATTCGAGAATGTGTCTCTCCCTGTATGTGAGATATAAACATCCCGAAGCTATACACAAGTAAAGTCAGAAGAATGTATTTGGCAACAGGGTAACAGCGTGGTGTTATTTTTTATTAAAATTTTTGTCAAGTTTATAAACGGGCATCTTTTAACTCGAAACAAAAGGCTTTTTATGTAAATTTAACAATAGGAGTGGGAGGAATATGTAAAATTTTCAAGCAAAATTTATTTCTAATAGTAATTCTCGCCTTACCTATGTACACCATGTCACCCACGCCTATTTATATCCCTTCCTTCATCTTTTAGCGGAGAAACTATTTCATTTGCCTAAAAGCGGATGACTTAAAAACCCATTTTTAT